CCAGGAAAGGCGCAAAGCTACACAGAGAAAAAAAAAAAAAAAAAAAAAAAAACAACTTCCAAATGAATACAGATTGGCCTGCATCAAGCAGCTTCAGTGCTAAGGGCCTGGGTGTTCTCTTCATCCTCTAGAGCCAGAATTTGATTTCTAGGGTTCTGGTCACTCAGTCCTAGAATCCTAACTTTGGTCGAATATAATCTGCTTTAGGACAGAGTCTTACCAGACTAGAAAGGCAAATGGGAAAAATGACAGCCCGTTTGTTTTTCTAGAAAGAACTGGAGAGAAAATGGCTCTGAAGCAGCCTCTGCTGCCCTGAAAACCGCTTTTCACTTCCAATTCAATTTACACTTCAGGACAACAGGGAGGAAATGGGTGATGAGACCTATAAGCTGTTTCCAGTCACTAGATTCTGTGGTGCATCAGAGAAATCTCAATGTCTTCAGACATTAAGTCCCAGGGACTGAGGATGTGGCTAGCAGAGCACTTGCCTAGCAAGACAAGGCCCTGAACTGGATCACCACCACCGACGACGACGACGACGGACAACTATACTCAGCATTAAGGAAAATCAACCCAGTGCCATTGATCCTACTTCCTCCCAGGAAGCCACCATCTCCAAGAAGGAGAAAACAGAATCAAGGTACTGTACAGGTTTTAAAAGCTATAAAGGAAAATTTACCTCCTCCTTTACTTGAAGGAGAGCCAAAAGTGACCCCACGATGGATGCCTGGCCTTCCTCCCTTGGTAAAGTACATGTCCAACAACATACTCCCCAAAAGCCTGTGAAGGAAGGCTAAGTAAGGGGGTCTAGACCCAAGAATGACAAGATTACCAGAGCTATAGGTATTAAAAGACCAGTAGCACCCAGTGGGCAGTCCCTGGCCTTTCTCCTATCTCCTCAGGCAAATACTGGCTTTAGAGACGCTTCTAGTATTCTCCTGTACCCTCTCTACCAGACACCAGAAATAGGTAGTAGAGATTTGCAAAGAAATCAGACCAAGAGAATATAGCCAGAGCTTTTCACCTTCAAAAGAAATAAAGTCTAAAATTCAGCTTAAGCTTCTGGAACTTTCCTTTTGAAACAAGGTCTTTGTAAAACTGCAGGCTATCCTTGAATTTTGAAATCCTGCCTCAGGCTCCTAAGAGCCAGGATTATAGGTATGTGCAACTACGCAGGGCATCTTTTGTAGTTTCCAGTGAATTATATTTTGACAAACTAGGCTAGTTCCCAAAACTTTGAAAGCTTAAATTGTTAGAAATATTACTTCTGAGGTAGTGTGAAACCTAGTGTGGGTCACTAAAATCAGATGTGACAAGAAACTCACACCGAGGGAACACATGAAGACCAAAATCTGGCTAGGGTTTTTAAATGCCCAATCAATAATGGGAAAGGAGTAACCAAATCTCAGCTAGCTAGTCTATTTTCCTCTCTCCGCGGGGGACTAAAGCCAGGCTGTGAGCTATACCAAGAGGGAAACTGTAATGGCCGCTGCCTAAATTCCGGTCCCAGTTTATATTACAAAGATCACTTCTAAAGCCAGGCATGGTGGCACATGCTTTTAATCCCAGCACTTGGGAGGCAGAGGCAAGCAGATCTCTGAGTTTGAGGCCAGTCTGGTCTATAATTCGAGAGTTCCAGGACAGCCAGGGCTACACAGAAAAACCCTGTCTGGAAATACAAGAACAACAACAACCAAAAAAAGAAGAAAGAAAGAAACAAAGATTGCTCCTAGGCAACATAACAGTCAGTCTTACTGGCCACCAAAGCAGGTGGTATCAAGGGAGGTACCCTATAGATGTCACTGTGGCTCCTGACTGGACATAGTCACTTTATCAGACTTGTGGAGCTGGGAGATACCGACTTCCAGAAGAGCAAAGAACTATATTTAGAGGTAACTGAGCAGAATGATGAGCTAATGATGAGCCTCTTCGGGACCTACAGGTTCCTGACAGAGAGAAATGGGACCAATTTACATGAGTCATTAGGTGAAAACCTCACTGTAGGCCTCAGTTCTACTATGGTTTAAGCCCAAGAAAGTTCTGAATGGTTTTAAAGAATTTCTGAGAGTCATTTATTTAGGGTATGGGGTGTGCGTGTGTATGTGGAGGCCAGAGCCAGAGGCCAGGAGGCTCCAAGGGGTACATTTTTAAGTCCGGATCTGGTGGCAAGGAGGTGACTCGGTACACACTGCCTGCTATGTGAGCATGAAGACCTGAGTTTAGATCAGTCAGCTCCAAGTTCAGTGAGACCCTGTCTCAAAATAGATGCTGGAGATGTAAGGTAAAAGCACTGGCCACTCAAGCCTTACAACTGTCCTCAGTGCCAATGGTGGAAGGGGAGAATCAATTCCAAAAGTTGTTCTCTGACCTCCACATGCACCTGCATGCATACACACTCACAATTTTTTTTTTTTTTTT